TTTAAAATATTGTTCAAGTTTGTTTGTTTAGTTAATAAAATGATCGCAAACGAGCTTTAATCGAACCGAACAACGAGTAGCTCGCCGAACGTTTGGTTCGTTTGCAGCTCTAGGAGTAGATATACTTATTCTTATTCTAATGTGATAAGAATAATAAGGTGATATTTTTATATTTATATTTTTTTGCATGTCTTAGTGTGTATCTGAATTTCTAAATCTATTATGATAGGGGGTCTTAAAGGTTTGTATGCATTAGGGTGTTGTGGTTGTGGTCAGGCGTTGTGGCATCGTGCTCTCTAGTGGAGAGCGATGCGACGATATAGGATCGAGCACCGCAACTATAGATCAAATTTTTATAAATATATCAAAAGTCACTTCTCTCATTTTAATTAAATCAACCTCCTAGTAGCCATTTAGAGAGAGAGGGAGAGTTTTAGAGAGAGAAATTTTGATTTGAGCTTCTCAGGCCTTTTTTTTTTGTTGTGAACACTCTTCTGAAAATTGTTGGGATGGAGGTTGATTATTTTTGTCTATCTTAGCTTTTAAAAAAATAATAAAGATTATGGATTTTTTTCTTATTGGATTCATAATTTGATAGTGTAAAATTGCGAATAATTTTACACTAGTTGAATTTTCATCGTGTAACTTCTGCATGTTGTAGATGTGGTTATTCTGAATATTTAGATATTTTTCAAAAAAAAAAAAAACCACTAGATAATTTGAAAAATATGTTATTTTTATCAAATTAGAAAATAATTTTAATCTCATAAAATATTGTTGTACAATTAAAGTTTCAAAATAGTATTCTGAATAATCTTTGGGACTAAGATAATATTCTAAAAAAGTAAAATTATTTTCAATAGTTTAATATATTGCCTGTCAATAAATTATTTTGTTCATTTTTAAAATTAGCATATGTACATTTTTTTTCTTCAATGCAATAACATATATGATTATTTGATTGAAATGTGTGATTCTGTAATGCTCTAATTTTAGATGAAGTTCTGTTGTGCGGGCGGGATGCAGAGTGAATCAGAAGGCTTTGAATTTCTAATTGTCTAATATTTGCTAAGTATTGGGAGTCAGGAGGGTCTGTTTTCTAATATGTTAGTACATGGAGTCTTAAGGGTATGAATTCTAATATACGTCTCTGATGGAATGTATAAGAGCTTGACTAAATTTTTTTATTTTTTGTTTTGTCATATTAAGTGTTTGTTTATTTATTTATTTTTTCTTATATTATTATTTAAAATGCAATACCAGTCGCTAGATTATGGTCCCTCTAACCTTCTTCGCCCAACTAAGGTCACAGTGACCCAACGAACGAGCCAACATTCTCTCAAGAACAACTCTCGTGTCATTGAATTCTTCCAACTTCATATATATAACGAGCTCTATACAATGTATTTTTTTCTACATAGAGCCATCTTCTTCCCCTTGCTAAAGGGTGTCCATTGTAACAAATAACAAATACTAGTGAAATAATCCTAATGTGGTTAGACCTTGTGATTTTTCCCCTATTCTAGGTTTTAAGCATAAAAAATTTACTCTCTTATGACTTTTGCACCCATCTCTTCTCTTTGTGTGTTGGATTTTGATATACAGCTATAACGCTAAACTCTATATCTCCCTATCGCCTTAAATGTTCTGACATGCAACAGAGTAAATTAAAAATTATCAAATTGTATCTCCGCTAATAAAAATTTTTAACTTTGCCCCAAAATTTTTAGCCAATGTGTTTTAGACATATGGTATTTCAAATATTTTCCTTTTAAGTTTGTAATTTTGGTAAAAGAGTGCATATGAGTATTATATTTAAAAGTTTTTGTACATGAGTCTAATACCATCTAAAATCTTCACTTAGATTTCTATTTCCCCATTTTATCGTAATAGCGAAGTGAGAGAGGGAGAGAAACCAATAGTGTGCAGAGATAAACTTTATATGTTTTGGAGGACTTGAAGCCATTTCTGCATGGCGAGACAACCATGAAAAATTTTCCACATCAGGAGTGTTATGTGCTTGAAAATTGATGAAGAGATAGAGAGAGTGAATGTCTTAGTTTTATAAGAATGTCTATTGTACCCACATATAAAGAAATGTTATAAGAGACATTAGAATTTTTACGTGAAAATACTAAAAAAAGAAAAACCCATAAGGCTTGATCTAATTGAAATGAATTGACTAATATATTTTAAGGGAAAAAATGATGCCATTGATGTAATTAGGCAATGGCACAATATGATAGTCATAAACTATAGAGGATGAATTCTACAGCTAAAATTAGAAGAATCTTGTGGACTTCAAGTTATCATTAAGAGATTATTTTGTTTGATCATTCTCCTTTGAGGAGATGATACCAAAGGTCAAAAAGTATGGTATAAATCTTAGTGTTTGATGTCGGGAGTGAAAGTTAGTGTTGATGGTGTACATTAACCTTATATGTGTTAAGAACTTAAGATAGTTGACATTGTTAGCGATGGTGAGCGATGAAGTTGATAAGCATCAATGTTGATGTCGACGATATACATCGGCCTTGTTGGCAATTACATATATACAGACGTTGTTGGCAATGATGTGAAGCAAAGTTTGCTGAAGTCGGTGATGGTGTTGACAGTTTGTATCGGCCTTCGAGGTGATGCTATGTGGTGATGTTGTTGACAATGGCATGAGATGAAGTCGATAGAGTTCACGTCGGTGTCAACGACAGGCATCAACTTTATAGGCAATGATGATTTATGTTGTTGGAGATAGCGGGTGATGAAGTTGATGGGAGTCGTCATTCGCATCGATGACATGCATTAGGCTTATAATCAATGAGAAGCATCAATATTGTTGGTGATGACTGACAATAAAATTTGTATGTGTTGGTATTGACGACATGCATCGATCTTATATGTCATTTATGCAATGTAGATTTATTGATTTTGCTTTGATAGTTAAAAAACGATTCAACTTTCACTGATGAGCATTAAAATTTGTAGATTTATTGATTTTACAATGTAAGTGCTTACTGCACACCCCATTGTACTGTATGTATTTTAGTTTTAGGAAAGGATAAGATTTCAACATTTTGACAGTTTGAGGTTTTCTTGGTGGATTGTATATGACTTTCTTTATAGTTATGGTATATTATTTATTTTAAAATATATTGAGGCACCATGCTTACTAGAATGTCATTTTCTTTTTATCTATTCTTAAAATGGATTCACTTTAATTGAATGAACTATAAAATACAAATTGATTTGTCATAAAAAATATCTTGATCGGGCACGAATCTCGATGCTAATATGAATAGAAAATTTTTAAAATAAAATTTGTGATAAGCTGTACTTCGATTTCAGCAAACTTATAGTCAAACTGGACGTCTTGAAGAGACGAACCCAACGACAATAAAATCGGTCCAATCCAAACCCAAGTGGGTCTGAAACGATGTCCCAAAGCATTTTGGAAGCTTTAGAACATTAATTGGATGACCAAATGACATTGAAAGGTGACATGCTTATAGTAGAATCGATTGACTCGACAAGGCAAATCCGACAAGCCCATGATCACTAAATTATGACATCATTAAGACGGATCGAGGGAGTTGATATCAGTCGTCTATTGAAACACTCCTAACATGACCTTAATATTTTCTCTACTTACTAGCCATGCATGCCACTACCCCAAAATTATAAATAGATCCCTCGTGAGGGGGAGAGGAAAAATTAAGAATCTTTATTGCTTTCTAAAGCGTGCACCACCAGTCGGATATCTTCAGTGCTAACAACTGTCACTAGACTCCGACCACTGACCACCAACCGTCCTCGGACTTCCAGCTATTCATTGGTTATTGTTGGATCTTTTCCCAACAACTAAATATTTTTAGACATAAACCCAACAACTGGTTAATGTTGAATCTCCATCCATCACCAGACATTGATGGAACACTCTATGTTATTCAATCTACATCAAAAAGGGACTAACTTTCTTAAGTTTGGAAATCTCTTCAGCATATTGTCTACTCCCTAACCTGGAGTTAAGGGATGAGTTGGCGTCGTTCGACTACGATCCTTCTGGCATCCATCGCCCGCCAACTAAAATCTCTTCAATCATCGCCCGACTATGATACGTCTAACCTCTGTTGCCCGCCGACTACGATCCGTTTAACCACTATGCCCGACTTCGATTCTTCTATCCATTCTCACTTGCCGACTACGGTCCCTTTGACCTTCGTCGCCTGATTACGGCTCTGCCAACTAAACGAACAAACCAACACTCTCTTTAGAACAACTATCATTTCATTATTCAACTATATAATGTGCTTTATACAATGTATATTTGAGACAACGCTATTCTCCGAGGAGGGACATTATTTATTATCAACCACCAATGCTAGTGGATTCATTTCGACTAGACAATACCTTGTTATTTTTCCCCTTTTTATAATTTTCCACATGAAAATTGTGTTGTCTCATTAACTCATATGAATGGTGCGCCCCATTCTTTTATCTATATTGGTGTGTTGAATCTTTGTACAAAGCTAGAATGTTAAACTTTATATTTCTCAATATCTACAAATATTCCATGATGCAACACAAATATTTTGACGAGTTCATGAATAAAAATAATTTAATGTAGAAAAACAAAATGATTATCACATAATTGCATATTAGATAAATTTATAATAAAATTTAAAATGAACATATTATCATATTATTGATATTTGATTGATCTTCTTAACCAATTTATTTATGATAAAAAAATGAAATAAACATCAAACTATTTTAATTAATTAATTTATAAATTAAATATTTATAAAAATATCATAATTTGTAAGATTAAATAATCAAATCTTTATAAATGAGCTATAATTGATTCTAATAAAAAACATGTTGATTAGTACTTTAGAGCCCCTCTTAAACCAAAATTCTACAAGAACCGGAATAAACCTAACGTGAACAGGATGCCACAGGGACTTTTTAGTAAATTCCTACGCGGCAAAACCCTAGCTACTTGTCTATAAAACTGGAACCGTCGCTTCCCAGCGGCTGCAAACTCGTCAAGATGTCGAAACGAGGTACGCTCCTCAGAGCTCCTCTTCCTTCATGCCTACATTTCTTCGATCCATCTCCGAGACTATTCTCAGATCTGTATTCAATGGCGGTGATGCTGAATTGACTTTTATTTTATTTGCTGACGATTTCAGGACGCGGAGGTTCAGCAGGAAATAAGTTCCGGATGTCGCTGGGTCTGCCGGTGGCCGCCACCGTGAACTGTGCCGACAACACTGGTGCAAAGAACCTTTACATCATCTCCGTGAAGGGAATCAAGGGACGCCTCAATCGCCTCCCATCTGCTTGCGTCGGCGACATGGTCATGGCCACCGTTAAGAAGGGCAAGCCCGATCTCAGGAAAAAGGTGATGCCCGCTGTCATCGTCCGCCAGCGTAAGCCTTGGCGCCGAAAGGACGGAGTCTACATGTATTTTGAAGGTATGATACCTCTCTTATTTTGTCTTTGCATCAGCTCTTGTTATGATCTTGGAAGATAGCTAGAGAATTTGTTGGTTTGAAATATTATAAATTTTAATAAATGATAAATTTTTATGTTTGATGTTTACCAAAGTTGCAAAGTTTTGTCGATTATGAAGTTAGAGTTTATTCTTCCTGTTAATGATTTCTGCTTAACTATTCCCAAAAAAAAAAAATCTGCTTAACTAATTATTTTTATAAGTACAGCTCTTGGCGATCGAGTGAGCATTTTTTTCATGCATAATTTCCCTTTGCTAAATGGTACCCGAAAATATCGTTATGTATTTAAAGTTGTTATGAGATATTAAGGAGGGAAGTTTAGAACAAATGAAGAAGCAATCAGATAAAAGATCACTGTTACCCTCATTCAAACTCAGTTGACTATAACAAAGAAAATGCTTCATTTTGCTAATTGAATCAAAACATCTCTTTTTTATAAGTTGATGAAATACTTGTATGCATTGAATATACATTGTCTATCAACAAATAAATTTGTTTTTCTCCACTGCTCCGTCTGAATCATCTGACCGGCTAGGATTCAACTTGACTTACTGCTTGAGCTTTGCCATATTTTTGACAAATTGATACATAGCTTCTTGTTGGATATGTTGCCACCTTACTCAGATGGAAGATGTGGCAGAATTCTTAACAGCCAAAGATTGTTCTGTATGGGCTAACAACCTACAATATGCTTTTAAATATAAAATATAAATATTTTTTGTTCAAAAGGTTTCTGCTTTACTATGTTTTTAAAAATTACTTGTTGAGGGCACCATGGTTGTCATTTTGACTCCATCTTCCTTTTTCTTTTGTTAAAGAAAGATTGTTTTCTAGTTATGGTTTTCATCAATTTGTTGTGACGGAGGAACTTTCCTGGGCGAAATTTCCCCTACTTGATGGAGCAAACTTCTTATGTTTGTATATTCCCAAGTAAACGTCACATAGATAACTCTAGAGGTTGATGGATTTTATGTTCCTCCTTCTTGGAGTGGTCTCATATTCCATTGCCTTAGGGAGCAGCATTGCTGCTATTACCTTTTGGGACTGGCCATGAGACAAACATTTTATGTTAAAAGTATTGAACTGTTTTTATCCACAGTTATACGATCTTGCGTAACAGATTTTTTGCCATTTTTCTTTTGTTTGTTGTCTTGGATGGAATTTAGTTGATAATGCTTTTTACATTCCTAAATTTGCTTGTAAACTTCAATCGGACAAGTTGCATTGGCAATCTTCTCTATATCTTATGCCTCATTTCCTTTTGCTTAATGGGAGATTGTATCCAAAAATCTTATCATATGTATAATTATGTATTGTATTGGATCTTAATGAGAGAAGTTTTACAAAAAAATATGTAATAAATGAGCCGATATAAAATCATCCGTATTCAATTTCACTTTACCATGACAAACAAAATGTTTCATTTTTAGAAATTAGAAATATATGTTGTGTTTGATTCTTCAAAATCTAAATCTCTTCATTTTTATTTCGATTAAATCCTTATATACATTGAATAAAAATTATCTATCAAGAATTAAATTTACTTTTCTCTAATGCTCTGACTTACTCAAGCTCACTTGGAATGATTCAACTTAAATTTTTGTTTGAGATTTTCAACCCTATTTGCAAATAGATCTATACTTCTTATTGGATAAAGAATAACTTTATTCGGATGATGGAAATTTTATTCTTCCTGGTAAAGATTTCCGCTTAACTAATTGTTTTTGTAAGTACAGCTCTTGGAGATCGAGTGCGCATTTTTTTCATGCATAATTTCCCTTTGCTAAATGGAAGATGGTACCCGAAAATATCGGCATATATGTAAAGTTGTTATGGGATATTAAGGAGGGAAGTTTAGAACAAATGAAGAAGCGATCAGATAAAAGATCATTGTTACCCTCATTCAAAGTCAGTTAACTATAACAAAGAAAATGCTTCATTTTGCTAATTGATGGCTCCTAATATTAGAATTATATGTTCATTTTAACATCCTGAATCAAAACCTCTCTTTTTTTGTAAGTTGATGAAATCCTTATACATTGTCTATCAACAATTAAATTTGTTTTTCTCCACTGCCGGCTAGGTTTCAAGTTGACTTGCTGCTTGAGCTTTGCCTTACTCTTGACAAATTGATACATAGCTTCTTGTTGGATTTCGAGTTACCTTACTCAGATGGAGGGATATGACAGATTTCTTAACAGCCAAAGATTGTTCTGTATGGGCTAACAACCTACAATATGCTTTTAAATATGAAATATAAATATTTTTTGCTCAAAAGGTTTCTGCTTTACTATGTTTTTGAGAATTACTTGTTGAGGGCACCATGGTTGTCATTTTGACTCCATCTTCCTTTTTTTATCGTAAAGAAAAAATTGTTTTCTAGTTAGGGTTTTCATCAATTTTTTGTGACGGAGGAACTTTCCTGGGCGAAATTTCCCCGACTTGTTGGAGCAAACTTCTTATGTTTGTATATTCCCAAGTAAACGTCACATAGATAATTCTAGAGGTTGATGGATCTTATGTTCCTCCTTCTTGGAGTGGTCTCATATTCCATTGCCTTAGGGAGCAGCATTGTTGCTATTACCTTTTGGGACTGGCCATGAGACAAACATTTTATGTTAAAGTATTGAACTGTTTTTCTCCACAGTTATACAATTTTTAACACAGATTTTTTGCCATTTTTCTTTTGTTTGTTGTCTTGGATTGAATTTAGTTGATAATGCTTTTTTGCATTCCTAAATTTTCGTGTAAATTTCAATCGGACAAGTTGCATTGGCAATCTTCTCTAAATCTGATGCCTTATTTCCTTTCGCTTAATGGGAGATTGTATCCAAGAATCTTTTCATATCTATAATTATGTAATGTATTGGATCTTAATGAGTGAAGTTTTACAAAAATGAGTAAATGAGCAGATAAAAAAAATCATCCATATTCAATTTCACTTTACTATGACAATTGACAAATAAAATGTTTCATTTTTAGAAATTAGAAATATATGTTGTGTTTGATTCTTCAGTTATTTGCAAATAGATCCATACTTCTTGTTGGATAAAGAATAACCTTATTGGGATGATGGAAACGAGTCAAATGAGATGAACTTCCTTACATCCTAAGATTATTTTGTTTTGTATTCGTTAACCAGCCTACAATTTGATGCTCCTTGTGAATTTTAAATTAATTTCATTTTAATGTTTTGCTTAACTATATTTTCATGAATTACTTCTTGAGGATATTTTGGTCATTTTTACATTATATTTTCTTTTATCCTAAAGGAGAATTGTTTATTATCTTCAATTTGTTGTGACGGGGAGCAAACTTTCCTGGGTGAAAATTTCCCCAACTTGTTGGAGCAAACCTGTTATGTTTGTACATTCCTAAGTAAACGTCACATAAAGATCTCTAGAGGTTGATGGTTCGGCAGTTCCTCCTTCTTGGAGTGTGTCTCATATTCCATTGCCTTAGGGAGCAGCGTTGCTGCTATTACCTTTTGGGATTGGCCATGAGACAAACATTTTTTTTTGAATATGGAATTTTGTTTTTATCCACTGGTATATGATTTTGCTTATGGATTTCTTAGCATTTTATCAGATAGATGTTAGATAATAATGATTTTCTCTCTCTAAACGTGCTAGAAATTTTTTATTGGCCAAGTTGCATTAGAGAATCTGGTAAAATAAAATTCAGTTAGGAAGGGTATGTTCTATTTGTTGCTGAATTCTGAAAGAAAAGTTAAGGGGCAATTACATTTTTGCACGCTCAAATTTATGGTTTTGCAAAGTTTTTTTTGTAGCGTCTTAGATAAGTAAGATGTAGGCTATGATTAATCCATATTGCATGAATTGATCAAAATGCTGCACCAGATAATTGAATCATCTATTTTTTTCTCTTTTATAATAATTGAGTTGGCTTGTGAGTTGCTCGAATTTCTACAAATAGGCTCGAGCTCAGCTTGATTGAGTTACACCCCTAATTTTATTTTTTGAGAGTGGGGACTGAACATGAGGCAGGCAATCTATGTTGAAATTTGGAACTGTGTACTAACGGTTTTTATCATATACTTGTTTATTGAAGTTATGTGGTTCATGGATATTTGTTTGTTCATGGTATTGGAATGTTTTTAGCGAATAGTTTGTCTTTTTAAGTAAGCTTGTAATTTTTTATCGGCAAAGTGGGATTTAAAGCTTTAGAAATTTGTCTCAATTTCTTTAATATGTACTCAAGCAAAGTGAATATTTTTTTCTTGGAAATCTGTGTTTTCCACTTTTATGTAATTTGTTTTATTCTCATTTTTCTATTAAGTAGTTAATTATTCGTTGAATGAGTTACAATTAATGATATTTGAATTTTATTTTAGACCATTGTGTCTTATCCATTCGGTTCTTTTGTGAAATTTTATTGTCTTTTTGTATAGATGGTTGCTTTTCTTACTCGTATGCATTTCTAGTTGGTTATCATCATATATATTAAGTTGTCCCTTCAAATGTTGCTTGCAATGTCTGAGAAGGGAGAATATTTATTACTGCTGATGTTTTTGGTGAAACTATCCTCAACCGATTTGAGCAAACCAATAATGTTTGTAAATTTCTATGTTAATGCCGCAGATTAAAATCTTTAGAAGTTGCAGGTTCTTCTTAGGAGTGTTGATTAAATCTTGATTTGTTATTTTTTTTTCCCTCTCTTTTTGAATAAGAAAAAATTAAAATTAAACAAATAAATGCCTTACCTATTCTTGCTACCAAACATGGTATGTGAAATTATGAGCGAGCCTCATTAGCAATATGGATAGGCATCATTGTTTTGCCATGGGATCGAGGAGCGTGCCTCCTAAGAAAATATTGGGAGCAGTAGTGATGACAGGTCTCACTTAGGTTAAAAAGGCAAAGTTGCAATTACAAGTTTCAATATTGGAATTTGTGAGTCGATGTGGGTGTTACTCAGTAAAATAGATTTGCAAAGTTTATTATTTGATTAGATTCATCCGGGAGACCTAAACACAGATGCTGATTGACTTCAAAGCAAAATGACAGACTCTCAAGTTTTTAGCTTATCTGTCAATTTGATTGTTTGTTGGATCTCAGGTTCTTAATCATTTCTAAATAATTTTTTTGATGACTGCATGTAGGAATTTAAGAAGTACGTGTAATATCCAATTTCTACTTGACAATTGTATTTGTGCTAACTATTAAGATTTAATAAATAAATCAGGCTTAACATGAAGTGTCAACAAAGTATGTGTTCTTTGTCAACTTCATATTTATAACGGTTAAATTTAAAAAATATTATGGAGTAACCAGGCCTTCATTGGTTTGCCATTAAAAGAGGAGCATAATGCTAAGTTAAGTGTTGCAGAGATGAGGATGCTCAGATGTATGAGTGGCTTTACTCTTAGAGATAGGATATGAAATGAGCATATACATGAAAAGGTCGAAGTAGCACCAAACGCCAGTGGAAGATAAGATTAGAGAGAGTTGTCTTAGATGGTTTGTTCACATTAAATGACGGCCTTTCGGAGTTATTAGATTTGACTTATGTCAAGAAAGTTAGAGATAGATCTAAAAAGATTTGGTTAGAAAATATTAGAAATGATCTTTTTTTTATTAGATTTAAATGAAAATTTTTCTTTTAACATGATACAATAGGGAAAAAAAGATTCATGTAGCTGATCGCACATAGCCAAATTTGAACTTTTTCTGATTTTCAACATTATATAATTTATTTTCTTATTTCGTTCCTTTGTAGTCTACTTGTATCAGATCAAGTTGAACTTATGCTCCTGCTATCTTGTTTTTCAAATTTTGTGGTCATGTTAATCAAATTTGTGAGGCTTATGTACAGATAACGCCGGAGTCATCGTGAATCCAAAAGGGGAAATGAAAGGTGTATTTGGTTATCAGCGTTTTTTTACTGTTGTTGTTTCAAACTTATAACTTTTAATTGAAGTGCTGAAATTTTGTCTGCATTTTCTGTGTTGATTTAGGTTCTGCAATTACTGGACCTATTGGAAAGGAGTGTGCTGACTTGTGGCCTAGAATTGCAAGTGCTGCGAATGCTATAGTGTAGTTCATTAACATTTCATGTCTCCGATCTATACAATCCGCTTCTATTTGCTGGGTATGGAGTTTTGTATTTTCATCACGTATGATTTGAGATTTTATAACTTTATTGGATCATTTGAATTCTGTCATATTAGTATTTTCTTACAGGGTAAATTGGACTGTGGTTTATGAGTTATTTATATCCGTTAATCCGTATTCTAGAATTCTTTTGTTGATATGCTGTGCTGTAGTTTTTCAACTTAAGGCGTTTTAAACGCTATTCATATGTACCAAATTCAACTTATGGACATTATTTTGTGCGGAAACTTGTTGCAGAATGTCGTCCTGAGACCAACTAGAATGCGTCACGTTAGCGGTACCGAGCACACGGGAGACATGATGTATTCTGATTGGTTTTAATGAGTTGAGTTTGGGTTGAAGTTTTTATCTAGTTGTGAAATGGGGTTAATAGGAATTAACTAAATTATTTGTATCTTGTTTTTTGGGTTGGACTTGAAACCTCGATGATTGATTAACTCGACATGATCAAAGGTGATGTTGAAGACAACGCAAAATCATTCATTTTTAGTTAATTTCCCGATATTATTTCTATGTTTATTTGTATCTACTTATTCTCTCCATTGTCTTTCTCTAAAACCTTTTCCATTTACCTTCTTTCTCTATTTCTCTCCTTTCTTTTTCTCAAACTCTTTCTACACCCAACATTTTCTCTTTTTTATTCTCTCTACATTATATAATATATAACAAAAGGGAGAAAAAAAGAGATTTCTTTTTCGTTACAAAGTTGCCATTGTCACTCTCTCACAAAAGATGTATACTACAAACAAGTCTTGTAAAGGAACTTTTATTTGGTCCGGTGAACGTACGTGGAGCTACGTTTGGTCGGTACTAAGATCGCAGGCACAAAACTAGAAATACTGAGTAAATATTGAGTAATACCAACAACAACGAGAAATACCATTATGTGAAGACAAAATACTGAGTAATATCGAGCAATATCGAGTTTTCCCAAAAAATATTGAGTTTTTTCTAGAAAAATTATATTTTTTTGTGAAAACTCGATTTTGCTCGGTATTGTTCGGTATTGATCTTCACAGAGTGGTATTCCTCGTTATTACCAAACAATATCTAGCAATACCGATCAAATACCGAGCAAAACTGAGTAACAATCCTCTGACCGAACGTAGAGCTACGTCCGGTCAGAGGACGTAATAGAAGTTCGTTGTAAAGGCATCACTGATTGAATGTCATTCACGTGTTTATAGCTTTGGCGTATTTTGACTATTAACAATACGACATTAATATTAGGCATGCTATGCTATTTAGAAATCTATAATGGCACCCCCGTTTTTCATCTACTTCTTCCCAAGCAAGTCGAGCGGCCCTTCCTCCATCTGCGTAGTTTCGTTCTAATCGTGTTAGAAATGTAGTTCGGTCGAAGTTTGATTATGTTTGAAATGGTTGTTTACAGCATTTTAAAGTGTGAAATAGATATTTTGATTGCAGTTGACCTAATAGAAAAACTTATTTTTTTTTCTTGGAGATGCTCAAATAGAAAAACTTGAGTACTTTGTGTAGTTTCAATGTGAGGAACTTTTATTTGGTTCGGTGAATGTACGCAACTCTACGTTCGGCCGCCAGTAGAATCGCGCCACGCATTTTCATTATTTACCGTGCGCTCCGACAATCCGACCTGGAACGAACCCAAGATTGCTCGGTATTGCTAGGTATTGGTCGATTTTGCTCGGCAATAACTAATACAGAACAATACCGAGGAAATACCTAGTAATACCGAGCAAATACCGAGTTGTACCGAGTTTTTCTAGCAATACCGAGCAAATACCGAGTTGTACTGAGTTGTAGAAAAACTCGGTACAACTCGGTATTTGCATGGTATAGTTCTTCACATAGCGGTATTTCTCATTTTTGCAAAGCAATATCTAGCAATACCGGGCAATACCGAGAAAATCGCGAACATAGCATTCCCGGGTTCCGGTCCGGGTCAAGTCATCGGGCCGCGCGGTAAAGAGTAAGAGCACGTTGCGACATGTTATTGGCGGCCGAACGTAGCTTTACGTCTGGTCAGAGGACTTAATAATTGTTCCAAGCAGAAATCTCATTGTTCTTTTTTATCATTTTCACAGTATGTTTCTTGAGCGTGTCGCTTTATTTGCAGTTTTGAGATCGGAAGGACCATTTTTTATGTTCAATCCTCCTTTCCAAGATTCAGTTGACGAGGCTTCAACTTTATGAAAGATGTTCAAACAAGTTTTAAATTGTTTATTCTAAATTCTATTCTTCTTAACGAACAGAAGCTTTAAAATCTGCTATGATGATATTTAGTTTTACATTTGTATTAGGTCTGCAACATATTTTCTAAAAAATGACATTGCGTTATAAAAATATATTATTTTTAGGTTTTCCGTTTGTATGGTAGAGAATGTTCAAGCAAAGAACATTAAAAGCATTCAAAATTTTTAATGGTAGGTATGTTAATTGAAAGCATCAATCGAGGACTGTGTTAGGAGTGTAAATGAGCTGAGCGGGCTTGAATTTATTAAGCTGTGATTTTGAGCTCAACTCTATAATACTTGAGCTTAATTTGACTTGGCCCATAAGTTTGATGAATGACTTAATTAACTTAAATTATATTTAAAAAGTAATTTTAAATTAGGTTTATTTAATATAATTTAACTTTTTAAAATTATTTTATATACTTATATTATTTTATTTGTATATTAAAAGAAAAAATAAATTGAAAATAATCTCAACCCATAAATTGTCAAAGTCTTATTGAGTTTAGCACTAAAGATTTATTTTCAAATAATATCTTATGAATAAGACTAGCCCTTGTACTCTAATTAGTAGATTTTTGCTTTCAATTGACACATGCAAATAGGTGTCATCTCGTAGAACAATTATTACGTCCTCTAATCGGACGTAGAGCTACGTTCGGCCGCCAATAACATGTCGCCACGTGCTCTTACTCTTTACCGTGCGGCCCGACGACTTGACCAGGACCAGAATCCAGGATTGCTATGTTCGCGTATTGCGAGGTATTAGTCGGTATTTGTTCGGTATTGTTAGGTATTGCTTGGCAATAACGAGAAATACCGCTCTGTGAAGACCAATATTGAGCAATACTGAGCAATACCGAGTTGTACTGAGTTGTTCTAGAAAAACTCGATATTGCTCGGTATTACTCAGTATTTTCTTGGTATTGTTCGGTATTGGTTATTGCCGAGCAAAATCGACCAATACTTAGCAATACCGAGCAATACCTAGCAAAATCGGAAATACCGAGCAATCCTGGGCCCGTTCCGGGTCGGGTTGTTGGGACGCGCGGTAAATAGTGAGAACGCGTGACGCGATTCTACTGGCGGCCGAACCTACAGCTACATCGTATATATAGAATTCCACAACAAATAAACCCCACTCGAGCTGATTTATCGGGTGGGGGAAACCAGTTGTTTTGATCAAGTCGTATATATTACTACCCATCGGGGTGCCCTGGCGAAAGCCGTTATCCTCAATGGTTAATCGTATGCACGGTCTAATCTGCCCTTCCATTGACCCGTTTGATATGAGTGCGGGGGCCTGCGATCGTCTCTGTCTCTCGGGGTGGTGCGGTCGTGTACCCTCTGCACTTTGCAGCCGGCGGTGTCCTTTCGGAGGTTCACATAAGCTTCATTTGGGACGGCTTTCTTTCTGCTTCTTAAAGAAGCTTTTTAGTACTATATTTTTAATTTTTGTACTAAAAAACTGATTTATGAAGCGAAAAAAAAAAAACCGTCTCAAACGAATCCATAATCTCACTTTAGGTGCTATTGCACCGTGTTATCAAAACATTCATTTTGATAACAAGCGCTGAAATCAATATTTGAATGATTATACAATTTCAAAATTTGTTATGTATAAAGAATGGGAAATGCCTTTTTTTAGTATCGACGAGTTGATTTTTTTTTCGATAAAATTAAAATATTGAATCAAATCATTTTTTAATTGATTTGTTTCAGTTGTTAAATTATCAGTTCAATTATTAATTATAATAGTTTTTTACTGGCACTAATTCAATCTTTTATTATTGAAAAATCAATCAATAAATAGTTGAACTATAATTATTTTTATAAATATCAAGTCAATAAAATTCTTGGACTATAAATAAATAAATGACAAAAATATCAATACATATTTTATTTTATTTTTTTATATTGTTATTTAAGATAATAATGATCAGTTCATTATTATTATTAATTATATTTTGGAATTTTCAAAAGCAAATGGAACTAACAAAACTATAATTTGATTCAATTAGTTCAATTGAAAAATAGTTTGGGCTCATTTTTTTAATATTTTATAATAGAAATTTTGTTTTGTTAATTCATAAATCAAAATATCCAACCGATCAAATGCTCATATATAGTTGAAGTTATTAGAAGAATATCATAAATTACTTGTAATGTGTTTTATGATATTCCTTTTAATAGTTATCACATTATATTGTCATTCAATTTAGGTGTCAATGCACCTTCCTTTATTATATAATTTTTGTGTCTATAAATAATGTACAAAATCATTCGTGTAAAATGAACATTTCCTCCTAAATTATAATGTATTATATGATATCAGAGCCACTTATCTCAATTGAGTTTTTTTTTTTCTCCTTATTCTTTCGTATTGGCTTCTCCTCCAACCCAAGTGCTCATATCATTCTAAAAATAAGATTGTGTGGATCCCATCAATCTATCCTCACTGACTAGTCAATGTATTGTCGACCCTGCCATTCATATAATTTCGTCATTACGATACCGGCGTATATTCTGTCGGTTAGGCCGCTGCATTTTTCGACGTATTTCTATTCGTCGAAAAGTCCGATGGTAATGACAGATTTTCTTATGGTAATATGACTACTAGCATCAATATGCTTGTGATGTCAATAACAATAGATTCATCCCTTTTGCATTCACAACATTTTGGGCTACTTAATATGGGTAACCTATTTTTCTAATGAACTAATTGAATACAATTTTATTTTTGATAGTTCCATTTGATTTTGAACAATACAAAATATAATAAATAATAATCATTCATTATTAACTTAAATAAGATTATTCATTTATTTTTTGTTAAAATTAAATAAATAATATCCTTATTGATATATTTTTTTCATTTATTTATTTATTGTTCAAGAGTTTTATTGACTTTTAGTTCAACTTTATTGTCTGATAAATTTTTCAATAATAAAAAGTTGAATTAGCACCCTAAAGTTAAAAAATTTATAATGAAAATTAATAATTCTAACTGATAATTCACTATTCGTTGGGCTCATTCCCTCTATACGAATAACATGCAAACACATAACTTTTTGTCAACAGTTCATAAATTAGGCCTGTATTACTTCTTACTATTATTTGCATACTCTCTTTACATATGAGAAGTCATTTTCAATTCTTTATATAAAACAAATTTTTTGAAATATCATTAAAAAGGTCATATACTCCCAGTTTATGGGCAAATTATTGGGTCAGGTGATCGGACGCGGAGATAGGTCCGGATATTAATAAAATATTATTTTAAATTTAGCGCCGGTAAAGCATAAGTAAAGCGCAGGTAAAGCGCAACTAAAGTGCAAGTCAAAAAGCGCAGGTAAAGCACAACTAAAGCGTAAGTCAAAAGCGCAAGTGACGCGGTAAATTTTTATTGGATGTCCAAACTTATTTTTCGCCTCCGGTCACCTGACCCAATAATTTTCCCAGTTTATGAGAACAACTGGGAGTATATTGAAGCAGAAAACTACCGGCTTCTGGCGGACTCAATACTCGATGACCAGGAATCAGTGGTAACTTCTGTGTTGGTTCTATATGTTATTTCTTACTATCGTTTGGTACCTAGAGTAGTTTACCGGTGTTTCGTGACCCGAAATTGACACCTCTTTAACAGCCGCTTGTGTTCTTTGCAAATGAGCCGAAGGAGCCATCCCAAACTGGTTTTAATAATCCCTGACAGTTTCAGGGATTATTAAAACCAGTTTGGGATGGCTCCTTCCGCTCATTTGCAAAGAGCACAAGTGGCTGTTAAAGCCATGAAGCTCATTGGGTTTGATCAAGCCAAAGTGAAGGCAGTCTTGAAGAAGCTGCTCAAAGTTTATGAAAACAACTGGGAGTATATTGAAGCAGAAAACTACAGGCTTCTGGCGGACTCAATATTCGATGACCAGGAATCAATGGTAGGTTCAGTGTTGGTTCTATCTGTTATTTCTTACTGTCGCTTGGTACCTAGAGTAGTTTACCGGTGTTTCGTAAGCCAGCAAAAATGAATTAAGTAAATTCTCAGATGATGAAGATGGCTTATGAAAGAATGATTTTGATGAGCTTTTATGTTTAATGATTTGACTTTGAATAACGTCCTTTGTGAACCAGGACCTGAGGTGAATGAAACAGATGCTGCTGCAAGTGTTGCACGTAAGGTATCTGATGCGGTGCATCACATCGTCGGCAGATTATGGTTACCGGATCTTACTACTTAATTATCTTAAGTGCCTTTTTATTTTAATAGTTAAGTAATTATGTGAAGCAGCTTTCCGTTAGAATAGTTGCTGCTCCACTCTTCTTATTATCCTTATTTAGTTAGTAGTACAAGCAGCTCCTTTTGAGCAGTAGGCATTTTTAGTAAGAGTCAGTTGTCTCTTAGGATGCTTGTTTATCTTCTCCAGGAGAGGATGAAGAAGGTATTGAATAAAATATATTCTCACCTTGATAGTTTTTCTGTCCTCCTTGAATGTTTCTGGCTTTGTGAACCTGCTTCTTCCGCCGTATACCTCATCATTTTGGTATCAGAGCCGGAGACTCGGAGAGATGGCAGAGTCCAGCAAGTGTGTGACGAGCGAGGATGACCGAAGTCTTGAGGCACTTTGGGCTGCACACGCTGGAGTGGAGAAACGTTTGGACGACATGGCGGCAGCGATAGAAAGACTCGCTACCGTTTTACACCGTGATCCACCTGGTATTCGAACCGGTGATATTCTTGTAAGGCTGGGGAGACCAGTTCCCCCTGTGGTGACTACAATGGGTGGAGGGAGAGGATACCCAAATCGGGGACGGAGACGAACTACATTGGTGTCGGAATGGTCGGAGACCGAAGACGAATGAGACAGTTTCATGCCGGAAGAGTTTTCAGATACAGACATGGACGTGACCGAGAGACGACCTCGTCGTCACATGGGACGTGAACGACATCATGGTGAGTTTCGACGTGAAAACCCGACCCGGAAAATCCGGGTTGAACCCTACCCGATTTCAAAATGGGTCGAGACACAGTACATTCATATGCTGACCTAATCCATCGGGTAGAGGCCCAAATCTCAGCTGACGAAGCCATCAATGCTCATAAGAAGCAATTTGAGCAAACCACTGGAAAGCGTAAAAATGCACCGGGGATGGGTGACTCATCATCGCAACGAAAGAAGCAGGGGGGTAAAAACCTGCCCCCTCGACCTTCACACTCTCGACAGGATCCTCGAGCAGAGAAAGAGTATACGCCTCTTAATACATCTCGAGCAAATGTCTTAATGGCTATTCGAGATGAAGAGAGTGTTAAGTGGCCAAATCCCATAAAGTCAAACTCAGGAAATCAGGAGCAATACTGTCACTTTCACCGAAGTCGTGGACACACAACTGAAGCATGCAAACAACTTAAAGAGGAAATCGAGAGACTGATCCGACAAGGCTACCTTGGTCGGTTCATAGCAAACCCGCCCGGTCGTAAGGACACTCCTCCTACTGGGGGGCAACCGACACAAAAACAGCCGCAGAACAATCACCAAATGGTTGGAGAGATTAATACCATCGCTGGAGGCCCATTATTATCCAACCAAGTCTTACTTGCGGCAAACGAGGAGCCAGCACAAAAGAAGAATCGTGTTGACCACTGTATTATCTTTGATGACACAGATCTAGAGGGCATTCATACCCCCCATCAAGATCCGCTTGTAATTAATGCGGGGATTGGCGATCCATGCTTCAACGTTAAAAGGATCTTAGTTGATAATGGGAGCTCAGTAGATGTCCTGTTCTACTCCACCTTTCTTAGTATGGGCTTGGTTAGGAAAAAGCTCCAGCCAGCTGCATGGCCTTTATATAGCTTTGATAACCGACCTGTATGGGTAGAAGGGACAATTAGCCTCCCTGTAACACTTGGGGAATTTCCTTAGCAGGCTACCCATCCAATACAATTCATTGTTGTGAAGTCAGAATCAGCTTACAACGCTATCTTTGGGAGACCACTACAATCAATTTTTGGAGCTATTCCCTCCATTCCACATCTCAAGATGAAGTTCTTACTCTTATCTATATTGTCATTGCATTGCTTAGCCAATCATGGCACAGCACAGAAGGGTGATTTTCTTTGGGCAAATGCTTCAACTGGTTTAACTGGTGCAAACAGTCAAGATGCACCAATCAATGAGGATGAAAAATGTCTAAAAGTTCAAGTACGAAAGGAGATCACTAAAGATCATTCTGTCAGTGCTTCCCATCCCCTGCTTGATGAGAATGACATAGCAAAAATGCTGTTTATCAGAATGCACATGTCAACTTTTCCCTTGCTCGAATTGATGATGAAGACTGCTGTTTGAACTGTTTTGGTGATTGTTTAAGTGCGCCTATCCCATGTGCCTGCACCCGAGAAACAGGTGGTGAATTTGCATACACCATGGATGGTTTACTCAAAGCTGAAATTCTTGAATGAATGCATTTCTATGATCCTTATAAACGTCATCATATTTACTGTAAGGATTGTCCTATAGAAAAGTCTAAGAATGAGCATACGCCTGAAGCCTGCAAGGGACATCTTTAACTATGAAAAATGTTCAAACAAGTTTTAAATAGTTTATTATAAATTCTTTTCTTCTAAATGAACAGAAGCTTTAAAATTTATGATGATATTTAGTTTTACATGCATTTGTGTTAGGTCTACAGCATTTTTTCTAATAGTTGATATTTCGTTATAAAAAATATATTATTTTTTAGGTTTACCGTTTGTATGGTGGAGAATGTTCAAGCAAAAAAATTAAAAGCATTCAAAAATTTCAATGATGGGTGTGTTAATTGAAAGCATCAATGGAAGACGATTGTGTTAGCGGTGTAAATGAGACACGGAGGTCAGCGGGTTTGTGAACCAGCTCGAATTTGACATGTTAACAATTTGATGAGTTGAATTTATCGAGCCATGATTTTGAGCTCAACTCTATAATACTTGAGCTTAGTTTGACTTTGCTCATAAGTTGTTGAACTGCTTCATTAACTTAAATTATATGCAAAAATTAATTTTAAATTAGTATTATATAATATTTTTAAGATTTAAAAATTATTTTTATATAATTATATTATTTTATTTGTATATTAAAAGTATAAAATTCATAAGAAAATTTAAAATTTTAATTTAAAATTAAAATATCAAGTTCAATCATTGAGTCAAACTTGAGCTTTTTAAATAAGTTTGAGCATAAATTTTTTTAATGATTTGAGTTCAAACTCAGTAAATAAGCTTGAGTTGAGTAAACGCTTAATAAAAATTAAATGAGCTCAATACAATTAAGCATATTCTAGACTTAACTTGGCTCATTTGAACCCATAGATGCATGTAGTTTTGGGGCTATATTCATAGAAATTTATACAAAATTTAAAATATTACTAGTTAGATATAACACAAATTTAAAGTAAAAATTTGTTTGTTGATATGGTATTTAAAAATAATAACAACTCATAAAATGTTAATATTTTATTGAGTTTGGTTTTAAGATTCATTTTCAAATAATATCTTATGATATTATCAATAAAACTACCACTTGTCCTCTAATTAGTAGATTTTTGCTTTCAACTGACACATGCTGACAGGTGAATGTAACTGCTTGTTATTGGTGACCACCTAACGTAGTTTCTTAAGGCTTATCTAAAATACCTACTCTCCTAACCACATCATTGGAAGGCCGATATTTTATGTAACCAGTTCATCGAAGACTACTCTCTCTAATATTAGTTATCATTGGAACTACTTCAATCTTTTAACATATATACTCGTTTCACATTTCGTCTCTAAGTATAAAGCCACGCATTCACTTTAGCATTTTCATCTCTGGAACAATTAACTTAATATTTTGCATCATAAAATTTTGCATGTCTCACTATCATTTTATAAAATTCTCTTAAGTTTGAGGGATACTTTTCCACCACAATACCACATAACCAGCTTGATGCATTTTTCCACATTAACTGTCCAACTTGAATTATACTATTAATATCCCAATCTATTTCACCTAGGGGTGTCAATATTCGACACGACACGAAAACCCGACTCGGAAAATCCGGGTTGAACCCGACCCGATTTCAAAACGGGTCGGGTTCGGGTTCCAGAAATCGACCCGTTTAAAAAACGGGTCTCGTGTCTGCCCGCCGCGCCCGCGTCCCCCGCCATCCGCCGCAGCCGTTCCAGCACCGGCCACCCAAACCGGGTCGGGTCGTGTCAACCCGGCAACCCGCCGGGTCGGGTCCGGGTTCGGTTTTTCGACCCGTTTGTCTACCCGGGTCGGGCTAGGGTTGACCCGTTTGAACCCAGGTCAGTTCCGGGTTTGACTCGAACCCGACCCGTTACCCGAAATTGACACCCCTAATTTCACCATCGTTAGGTCAACCCATTTTCATTATAATAATTTATTTTGGAGTTTCATTTATGCATTTGCTTTCCTCTTATATAAAAACCAACTTGATTTATTTATTACCTTCTTTTTATTAGGTTTTACTCTAACTTTCTCTTTCATATTAATTATTTCTCAATCTATCATTGTATTACTTCACAACAATCTTAAAATTCTTATGCGTTAAATTTAACTTGTCTATTAGCAACTTAAATAGCATATTTAGTCTAATTGCATTGTTATAGTATTTATCATTTAAACCTTCATATTATTCTTTAATAACATGATACTATTAACTATAACTCTTAAAGTTATATACTCATCTATAACATCATTCTTCTATAGTAAGTTCAAGATATAAAAATCATTACACCATAGTATTCACTCAGTGAGTCAGTATTGATTAATAATTATGAAGTACACGTGCTCCAAAATTACTCGTGTCTCATTTTATTTTTGTTATGCAACCTTAAGGCATCATTTGAGATAGCTTTTTTATTGCTTTTTAAAATAATTTTTTTTCAAAAACTTTTTATACTAAAAAATTATTTTATAAAGCGATACCAAAGCTGATCCAAACGAAGCCCAAGTCTATCATCTTCTATAAATTTAAATTTTTTATTTAATTTTTCACTTATTTTATTAGAATTGTCTCATTTGCAAATGGTGTAGAACAAAGTGATTTAAGCTTTGTTTTGGATGGCTTTTTTACTGTTTTTAAAATTACTTTAGTGCAAAAATATTTTGAAATAAAAAAAAAAACTGTGATTTAACGTTGTCTCGAACAAAGCCTTAGTTTAAATATCGTAATATTCTTTATACTTAATTGAAGAATGAATGAGTTTATTGTTGAGATACTTACTATAGTCATGGGAATAGTTTGGTCACTCCACAACCACTTGTAGTATGCCATTGCTCCATCTTGTACACTTTTAGCTTTGAGACACTAAAGTAATTATCATGACATTGGATCAAATGCCTTCTAAAGATCAACAAAGTCCATTTAAATATCAATTATATGATATATGCTTTTACACTAATTTGCCCTATCATAAAAATACTTCCCTAAGCATAAAACTTAATTGTTTCTTTAACTTAGATTTGATTTTTCTTTTTCTTATATTTTTGTATCTTCTTTCAAAAATTATATGACTCATTGATCATGTGGTTGTCGCAAAATAGTATAATTAAGTTACGATTATGATTAGATCTCGTAAGTTCTCTACTGGTAAAAATATCTTTGATTAATAAGCTATAGCGTGTGGGTTGATTAGGTTTACTACCTAAATAAATCATGAACTATGAAAACTCTAGATAATAAAATTATGGGATCTTTATTTCATCATCATCATTTATTTTAAGTTTAGGGTGAAAATTCTGAACATATAGTAATTTTGTTTTTAGCATGCACAATGCAATTATTTTTAACTATTAGCTTAAATTAAAAGTTCTCATTTTTTATTGGGACAATAGGTGCTTGCACCTCGAAATATTTGAAGCTTGATCATAAAGTTTTCGTAAAATGAAGGCGAAATTTAAAAATGTGACTTGTGAAGCTAAAAAAACTGAGTTCAGATCTCTATATACTATTGTAACTTCAGCTAATTGAGGCATTAAAATATCATCAATACTTAATTAATGAGTAGGGAGTCATGTGTTTGATTGAGGCTTTTGGCTTAATATTACAAAGAAATAACCAATATTTTGAAAGCAATATCAGATGGGCCAGTTCAACCAAAATTTGTTCGACTAGCTAGTTAGTTTTATTTCTAAAATTGGTTTCGCAATGAACCGGAAAAAAATATACTCGAACCAACAGTTTGATCGTAAAATCGTTGAATTGGTCCCAATTTTTTAAACCGGCAGATTCAATTATTCTCTCCTTTATATAATTAAATAATTTTGGTTAATAAATTTAATATGAAATGTTAAATTTAATAAATGAATTTAAATTTACTATATTTTAATTTAAAATAACTTATAAATTTTTGATATATCATAAAAAAATTCTCTTAATCAGGCACGAATCTCGAGGCTAAAATCAAGTTGAAAGCTTAAAAAAATTAAATATGAGATCATCTGAACTCCGATTTCAGCAAACTTATAGTCAAATTGAGCGTCTCAGAAATACGAACCCAACGACACCAAATTCGGCTCAATCCGAGCCCAAATGAGTCCAAATCAAGGACCCGAAGTGTTGTTGGAAGCTTCATACCACTGTTTGATTTACCAAACGGTTTCCAAATATGACAAGCTTATAGTCGAATTGAGCGGCTCGACGAGACGAATCCAACGAGCCCAAGATCACTGAATTTCAAAATCATTAAGGCCTCCAAATGTCTAACGAACGGTCCATGATCAAGGAATTTAATATCGGCCGTCCATCCAACCACACCTCATTTACCCTTGATCTTTCACCTATTTACGAGCCATGCCACTCCAGAAATCTATAAATATACCCCTCATTTCTCTTGAAAGGGGATGGAAGCAAGAAGAGAAGAGGAGAATAGAAGGAAGAAGCTCCTCCTCGACCACCGCCGGAGTTTCGCCGGACCACCGATGGACCTTTGCCGGACCACCACTTGAGGCCCTCACCTCTGCCGGACCACCGCCTGCCGCCGTTGCTCCGCCGGACCACAACTTGAGGCCATCACCTCCACCGAACCACCGCCTGACGCGGTTGCTCTGTCAGACGACCATTTGAGGTCCCGAGCTCCTCCAGGACACCACTTGACGCCCGAACTTCTACT